TTTCTTTCTCGTTATTGAAGATTATATAAGTTATTGAAAAATTACACTTCGAAAAGGGTTATATATATACGTACGTTGTAAATGAAAAAAAAAAAAAAACAAATTAGAATTGGTCGTGTTAAAGGAAATATTTCATTAGGGAAATAAATATGAGATTTAAAAAGCTTTTATATTTGTAAACATTTCATTCTGATTTATACAAATTTAAATGTTAATTTAATTACGCGTGTACGAAATTTCTCTTTATTTCTCTCTCTCTCTCTCTCTCTCTCTCTCATTTTCGAGGTCCCCTTTTTGATTAGTCTTTTGTAGAATATATGACAAATTTAGTAAGTATGAAACGTTTATAGGTTTCTTACCACCGCATTCCAGGCAAACCCTTTTAGATCAAAGCATATCGGCAAACAGGTTTGCTGCTTTGCGGTTAATCCAAATACGAGTTACGATTATGCACACAGAAGAATACTATTTGCGTTCAAGGAAAAAAAAAGAAAAAGAAAGAAGTCGATGTATAGACGATAATCATTACCGTGAATCTTGATTCGAAACGATGAAATATACTCGTGTAGATACCACGCAGTTTTTACCAACTTTCAGTTTTCGATGGGTTTGTAGTTTACCAATGGGGGTTAGGGGGGTTGGGGGGTTTGTTGAGGGAAATGAAAGGGCACACCTAATGGACGTTTTTCGTGAACGTTTCGTGTTTTTCACCAATGTTTCGTTGAAGCTGTTTTCGGGGCTTTCGTTCCAAGCTTTTGCTTTTACCCACTACCTCGAGGAAATTCAAACGGAAGCTTTTTCTGTTTGGCATGGAAAATCGTTACGTTTTTTTTCTCTATACTCCACCCCGCACCCGCCCCCGCCCATCACCTATCACCAAAGCGATATATCATTGTTGTACGAATTTTTGTTTTATTTTTTTGTTTGTTTGTTTGTTTGTTTGTTGAGTAGGGAGGGTAGAAGAGAGTCGTACAATTTGTGTATCAGTTACGTGCCAAATTCAAAAGTATTTAGAATGCAATATGAGTACGGTCAGTAAATTTGAGAAGTTATACTTTGAAACGTATATTTTTTTTTTTTTTTTAATAGATTTTGAAATGTGTCAGAAGATATTTTGAAAAATTTCGAGTTGATGTTTAAGTTAGTGTAATTTGGTCGGAAATTAACATTTATTTTTTTTAGGTTTTCGGTAAAGGGAAACTAAGGAACTTGTGGGATTTGTTTAGACAGTTGGTAGGGCTAGAATAGGACCTGTAGGAAACAAGTAAGTTTAATTGAAGATAAGGGTTCTATGATGGGATGGAGAATTCTAGATTTAACAGGTGTTACTAATTGTAAGATTATTATTATATTTATTACTATTATTGTCTTAGCATCATATATATTATTATTATTATCATATATAAAATAAATCTTTGTTAAATTATTTTATAAGAAAATAATTTCTGTATTTGTGAGTACATTTTTATTTTCGAAATATATTTCATACTATATTTCACATATTTTTAATATATTCCATACTTTTCAGAAATACAATAATTAAAAAAGCATTTATATGGAACATTACATTTTTCATTACAATTGCAACAAAAATAATAATAATAATTGTGATAATAGTATACTGATTATAATAACAAATAAAACAGGAAGAGTAACATGAAATAGAGAATGTATAAGTATATTTAAAAAAACATTTAAAATTAATATATAATTAAATTTAAAAGCTGAAATATCAATTATAAATATTTCCATCGAATAAAAATGTTTTAAGTGTTCGAAAAAAGTCACTTGAGATCATCTTTTACATATTTATCTTTACACATGCATATATGTATGTATAGATAAGTCCTTTATAAAGCGCACGTGTCTACTTTAACTCGGTCACAAGTATTTGAAACTGGAAAAAGAGACTCTCAAGGCAGTAAAACATTCGTTCGTTCACCAGAGTCCCATAGATCTCTCATGAGAATTCGTTAAGTGATCGCGTGACTAACGATACCTTGACTACTCTCTGGCATTCTACTTGAGAAACTAACCGAATGAAGTTGTTCTCTTGTCATGGGGTATTCTTTTAAATAGGGGATGAGTTCACAAAATTCTATTTTTTAAGAAGATATTTCATGTCACGGGTGGGTGGTGGGTGGGTGGGTATCAATGGGTATCAAGTTGTACGAAAAGTTTGTGCGGATTTGTGAACATATATTTTCTTCATATTTTATAATGCACAAGTAAAACATGTTTTTTTTCTTTTTTTTTTTTTTTCGTATTTTGTATTTAACCTATTTCGAATAATTGAAAATTGTTTTGCGATAGACGTTTAGTTTCTTATTAAATAATATGATTATAAACGTACCGGTTTTACTCAATTTTTTTTTCCCCGTCATCTAATCGACTTTTTCATCGATTGGTCGAACTATAACAAGGTTTATCTTGAACATCGAAATTTTCCAGATTGAAAACGTTCGTAACAGTTTTCTACTACGCATACCAATATACCGCATTGCGAATCCTTTTTTTTTTTTAGCAAACACTCGCATTTTTTTATTTTTGAAATGAAATTTTTCAAAAAAACGTATCTTTATTTTATCTTGTTTGTAATATGTAGTTATTTTTGACTAAATAAATAAATATCGCAATGTTTCGTTTCAATGAATTTATTATTGGTTAATTTTCAAACGCACGGAAATATTGTCAGGTCTGATCAGTATTATAGAATTATGTGATTTTAAAATATGAAGAAACTTCGTTTTCAACCACATATATTTCATTTCATAATTTTTAGTAAATAAATACAATTCTTCTTAAAATTAGCAAAAATTACAGAAGCTTTTTTATTCATAGTTTTGTGTATCAATATATTTTGTTGAAACAAGGAAAACATAAGGATAATTTTTTAGGACAATCATCGCAAAATATTGTCACATTCAATCCATACAATGATACTATTCAAATTTAGACATTTTCTTTATAACAAAAAATTCTATAATAACTACTATACTTCCATTATCTTTTTTTAATTCATGTTGTTTTCTATTTGATAATACAAATATTATCGTGTATGTTA